CCTCAGGGTCAGCAACTACCAGCTGTTCCACGGGAGAAAGATGAGGCTTTCTGCTCCCGTAAAGATTTACAGCCTTGGAAACCCTGTACAGGGTCACTATGAGTTGGAATCGACTCCATGGCAGATAACAACAACAACATGCCAAGAAATTTGGAAGACAACTACCTGGCCAACTGACTGGAAGAGACCCATATTTGTGCCCATTCCAAAGAGAAGTGACCCAGTGGAATGCAGAAATCATTGGACAGTATCTTTGATATCCCATGTGAGTAAAGTTTTACTAAAGTAATACAGAAACAGCTGCAACCATACATTGACAGAGAACTTCCAGGGGTTCAAGCAGGTTTCAGAAGAGGATGTGGAATGAGGGATAGCATTGCTGAAGTCAAATGGATCTTGGCTGAAAGCAGGGAATATCAGAAAGATGTTTACTTGTGCTTTATTGACTATGCAAAGGTCACCAAGCTAGGAGGAGATTGCATTAAGAACTGAAGTTGGCCGAACAGCCTCAGAGTCCTTACTCATAAGTACCCTGCTACATACCTCAGCACTATCATCTGCATTTCTACATATCTTATAAACATATTATTTCTCATAACTTGTTATTTTTGTTGTTAAGTGCTATTGAATCAATTCCAACTCATACCAAGTCCATATAGTGTTTCCGAGGAGCAACTGGTGAGCATGAACCACCGGTCTTGCGATTCAAACCAACTTTGCAGTCCTGCACATTAACCCACAGCGCCACACTCCAAAACCAGTCTATCAGTGAGACTTGGATGCTTTCCATCGCTTATTAGATTCAGAATACATCTGTGTTGGCTGTGGATCTTTTGGACTCAACCCAAATTTCAATGAGACTGTTGGTGCCCCAGTAGTTACAGGAGTGTAGCCAGTTAATGATTTGGCCCAAGAATACCTCTTTGAGCCAAGCTCAGTTGGACTCACTCTTGGCTGTACATGCCAGGATGCTAGGCATCTTCTTTGTGACCCAGGCTTATAAAATGCTCTCTAGGATGGCCATCTCAGTACCATATGTGCAACTGTCACCCAGGGAAGATTCCTACGAAGACCCTCATTTTTTGTGACTAGGATATAACAGTGTTAGACCGTGCCTTAAAAAAAGAGAAAGAATCCCCCGCCCCCAGCCCCACCAAGCTAAGAGGTGAGAGAAGACCCTCACTTTTGGTGGCTAGGATATAACAGTGTTAGACCTTGCCTTAAAAAAAAGAGAAAACACTAGCCCCCTCAAGCTAAAAGGTGAGAAATCTTTATGAGATATGAGTATTTTTCCTAGAAGTTCAATTCCCACAATTCTTTCAGATGCTATCAAGTTTGCCGTATACTACTTGCAGTCCTACTAAACAGAAATTCTATCAAGCAAAAGTGTCTTCATCCATGGCCGTTTTCTAAGACTTATTATGTACATTCAACTCTGGGCAGAGGAGTCAGCATCTGTGTTAATCAGAGCTAGAAGAAAAGATAAAAAAACACTGGAAATGTGTGCAATACGTATCCTTCTAGATGTTCAGTGCCACAACTGGATCAGTCCCTACCTGGCCTTTCCCCAAAAACCCTTTCAGGGAAGACAAGAAGACAGAGGACTGTACTGCTTCAAAAGACTGCTCCTGACTAGATACAACCCATCTGAAGGCCCTAAATCAAGTTTACCTATCAAGGTTGGCTTTATAGATGGTGTAATTTCTTCCTTATCTGAAAACTATCTCCCATCTGCTTCAGAATGTCTGAATCCCCTTAATAGAGAACAAAGATTTTCATTTCACAGGTAGAGATAAAAGGCTTAGCATGAAAGTGTCTGGTTGATGTAAGACCAAGACTAAAAGTAATTCGCACTCCAGTGTAGTCAAGCAGTCAGTAAGAAAGGAAGGGGGAAATTGACTAGGAGCAGAGGAATTCACAGTATGGTGAAGAAAAAAGGTTAAAGAATAAACAAGTGGGCTCCAGAAGAGGGGGCTAGAAGGAGGACTGAAGGAAAGGGATATTTGTTGTTGGTGTTGTTAAGTGCCATCGAGTTGGTTCTAACCCATAGTGGCCCTGTACAGGATTCTGAGGTGTGACTGGTGAGCTTGAACTGCAAGGTGAGCTTGAACCGCAAACTGTGTGTTTCAAACCAACTTTCTGGCCAAAGTAACTGCTAGTCAGTTCGAAGCTTCTGTTCTGGTCTGGTGAAAAAGACTTGTTTTGAGTACCCATCCTAACTGCTCCCCCCCCCCCCAATCTAAAGAACCAGCCCTATCCAGATGAATCTGCAATGTGACTAATTCCTATGCTTAATTATCTCCCATTGGGGAATCAGAATCCTTTGTTGGACAAGTGGCTTTTAAGAACACAGTGAGTTATAGGTAAAACAAACAAAAGTTGTTGTTGCTAAGTGTCATCATGTTGGTTCTGACTCATAGCGACCCTGTATGGGGTTTCTGAGGAGCAGCTGGTGGGTTTGAATTGATTACCTTGCAGTTAATAGTCCAGCACTTATTCTACAGCACCACACTAGGACACCATAAAATAAAACTTGTTGGTAAGTACCGTGGAGTCGGTTCCAACTCATAGTGACCCTGCACAGGGTTTCCGAGGCTGCAAATCTTCACAGGAGCAGAAAGCCTCATCTTTCTCCCATGGAACAGCTGATAGTTTTGAACTGCCGACCTTGAGGTTAGCAGCTCAATTTGTAGCCACTACACTACCAGAGACATATTGTTAGGAGGAACCAGTCTCTAGAGAAGGGTATCATGTTTGGTAAGGTGGAGGGTCAGAGAAAAAGAGGAAGAGCCCCCAATGAGATGGATTAGCCAAGTGGCAGCATCGATGGACTCAAGCATGGCAACAGTAGTGAGGTTGGCCCAGGATTGGGCAGTGCTTCCTTCTGCTGTGCATAGGGTTGCTATGAGTCCGTACCAACTCGATGGTGCCTAACAACAAAACAACAACTTCATATATACTTTATATATACCTCCAGACCCCTCTCTACAATTCTGAAATCTGTTCACCAACTTAAGGTTTATACAACTTCTAATGATTTACTCTGGAATTTTGGATGTGATCAAGTCAAAGTCACCAGTCAATTGTAACTTTGTTGAAATAGTAAAAACAAATACTACCCACAAGTCAATGCTGTTCTAAACCCCATATGCCTATCTAATCCTTGCATTACAAAGAGCCCTGGTGACATAATGGTAAAGCACTGTTAACCTGAAGGTTAGTGGTTCAAACCCACCTGGTAGCTTTACCTGAGAAACACTTGACAATCTGCTTCAGTAAGATTATAGCCAAGAAAATGTTATGAGGTAATTCTGCTCTGTCACATGGGATCACTAAGACTTGGCATTGATTGGATGGCACCCAACACCATTCCTCACAGTATTATACACCAAGGCAAGGACTATTGTTTTCCACGTCTTCGTTTTACAGATGAAGAAACAGACACAGGGAGACTGAGTAATTTGCTTGTCACACCAGGACTTTGAACCGGTTCAAGCAGGTTCAATAATCGCTAACACAGAGAAATTGGAACAGACTCAAATTTTTAAACTTTGGGTGAAGCAGAACAATAGCCAGAGTGGGGAAAAATACAGGTCAAAGCCCTGGAATGGAAGACACAGAAGAGGCCTAGTGAGTCTTTGCAGGAGCCTGATGTGAGAGATGGGCATATTGCCAAGACTGTGGAGACTGGAATACTTCATACATTCCAAGCGATGCAGTCAGCTAACATTTTGAACAGGGCATCGTCAAGTTTCAGTCAAGAGATGTGGTTGCTACGCAATGTATATGCAGCCTTTGTTTTTTAAGATTAAGTTTCTAACAGGATGTTGATCATGAATTTTTCCCATTCAGGGGTTTTATTCCGGTTCACCACATTTTACAAATTCTGGTCTGTTCTGGTATTGTTTCCTAAGCCATGACAGAACTGAGAAGGACCTGTTCAAATCCCTGGTTCATTCCAAAAGGAAGTTGTAAGGCTGCGTTCTGAAGCCTGCTTTAATCATTATATTTACACTATAATCATACTACTCTGACAACCGGAAATCACTTGGATTCTTTCTTATAAGACATGAGGAAGACTCATTTAATCATCCTGATTGAAAACCAATGACAGAACCTGAAGGGAAAACTTCTTTATGCTATTTTACAGATTTAAGCAACAAAACCTTTTCCTTAATTAAACTAAAAAAAACTAGGTTTGATAGAAATGTTTTGTCAGGTGGGTACACAAAAGGTCATTTAGCAGTGCCGTTAGAAAACTTACCCACAATTTGATTCCTACTTGAAGGAATATTTCCACTGGGTAGAAATATTTTCAATAAATCATTGATTCTGTGCTCAATCTACTCACTTCAGATACAGAGAAAAGTCAAGTAGAATCTACTATAAGCAAGATGAAATCATTTTAAACAACATTATTTAGTTACCAAGTCCTCATTTCTGGAGCACTACATTTAGGTGAGCATTGGGCTTCAAGGTAAGCAGTTCCAATCCATTAGTTGCTTTGAGGGAGAAAGATGACTTTCTGTTTCTGTAGAAATGTAGAGTCTCAGAAACCCTATACAGGGTAGCTATGAGTCAAAACCCACAGATCAGCACACAACAACAACATATTTTAGTACACATGCTGAACAATAGCAAGCCACTAGGACTTATCTAAAACATGATGATAAGGATTCAGTTTATCTCATCCCAAACAACTGAAGAAATGCTCATATTTTATTGGATGATTGCTGTTGAGCAATCCAGTTCCCCTTATGAATTAAAGAAACTTTCTTTTACTTTCTACATAAAAGGATTAATGGTTAACTAGCAGTTACTAGTTGATGTGGTACTTAAGGTTCCTTAGGACTAATGAATAGGCGGTGCTTACAGTATTATTCCAAGCCACTCATTGCTCACTCTTGTCTTTCAAGAAAGGTTCTAACCAATAAGAGGAAGCCTATGGTTCTGGGCTGAAAGCTAAGTGCCATATATAGCTAAGTGATGCTGAAGCAGGGTACACTTCCTCAGAAGAAGGCTTCTGGGTGGTAAGTTAAGCATTTCTGGGTATTAGGATATCACATTTAAGATTATGCCATAAAGTAGATTCTGAGGAGTGTGGTAAAGAGAGGATGCAAGGTCTCTGAAGAGAATTGGGATATTGTATAAATATTTATTTTTTTAAAAAGTAGTTGCTTATAATTTTGTTTGCAATTTCCCTAGGAAAGGTGATTTAAGAGTTGATGTTGATTTTTCTTTTTATAACCAAAGAAACAATTTTAATAACTGTGTGAGGAAGTCAACTTTTTGTTTTTAATCTATCTCATCTTTCTAGAACATTCTTTGAGAAGCCAAATGTTCAGATACCGATAAAGAAAAAGTATTCTAAGGAAAGACTGTCCTAAGAAGGGCTCATATCGTGGATTTGAGAAAATGATGATGTAGTTTCTTCATCACACAGTTAAATATAAACCTCTCAGTGAAGACTGAAAATATTTCATTAAAAGGAGCCAGTAGAGCATGATTATTTTACCTAAATTTAGCATGCAACTTTATTAAGGGCTTTGATTTATATATGTAGTCAAAATGCTCATTTATTTTTTTTTTTAAGCCCCATAATAGCACTTGCAAAAACCCTTAAAAGTATAAACAAATGAAACATTTGAAGGCATCAGATAACATCCAAGAATTTATAGAGATATCATCTTGACAGAAGCATTTTTAAAGTTCATATTTTAAAAATGTAATTTTTTTCACTTATTACATATGTAGTTACCTATATTTTTGGAACAAATGTATTATAAGAAGATGTACATATTTTTATAAACTAAAAAGAAAGCAAAATTTGAGAAATTTTCAAAATTTTTTTTTTTTTTCATTTTATTCATCAATATAATGTATATTCTTCTCAATCATATAATACTTGGCAGTTTCAAAATTTGGCTGTGAAATACTGCTTCATACTGAAAACATATAGCCCTTCCTGTGCTACATTAGTAGAGTTAAAACTTTCCTTAAGTCAGATTGAATCTAACTACAGTAAGGTCAAGCAAACAGTATAAATACAAGTAACATTTTAATCACTCCATCTGAAATTCTGCTTTGTCAAATCAGGTTCTCACTTATTTATGCTAAGATTTAATTGCTTAGGTAACTAAATTTCCTGGATAAGTTTTTTTATTTGTCTGCTATTTTAGCAATTCATTGTTTAAAATTTATTTTTAGACAAGGAATTTTGAATGGAATGAATTTAAAATTATATGTCTTGTAAAAGAAAATAATTTCCTCATACCCCCACCCACCCCCTTAAATATATTTGTATTATTTGGAAAAAGTAGTTTAATTTTATTTTTTAAATGGCAGCCTTGAAGAACATTCTGAAGATTGTTTAGAAGAGAATACATCAAGGATCTCCTTATTGGGTTTTTCTAGAACAAAAGACAGGAGCTCCCTAATGTAACCACATAAGTGTTTATTTACAGGAAACATATAGATTTTCTTTGTTTAAAAAAAAAAAAATCCATTTTGCAAGATGTCACTTACCAATTCTTCCAGTGTGTTTCTGGACCCAGTCCCCAGTAATACCACGCGCTTTCAGGTTAATGTCATAAATGAAGGCTATGACAACTGTGCTGCTGCAGATAATAGCACTGACCCTCCACATTATGAAGAAACCTCTTTTGGGAATGAAGCCCAGAACAAACTCAGAATCAGTTTTAGGCCTGGGAATCAAGAGTGCTATGACAATTTCCTCCAAAACGGAGAAACTACTAGAACAGATGCCAGTTTTCATGTCTATGACTCTCACACAAACACATACTACCTACAAACCTTTGGCCACAACACTATGGATGCTGTGCCCAAGATCGAGTACTATCGCAACACCGGCAGCATCAGCGGGCCCAAGTTCAATCGACCCAGCCTGCTTGAGATACATGAGCAACTTGCAAAGGTAAGCTTCAGGGGCACAGGTAAGTGTCCTCCCTCCCGGTGATTTTCTCTTCTTCAATAATAGTTGTGGCACTGTTGGATCAGCACTGAACTGTTAACCTCAAGGTTGGTGGTTCAAATCCACCAGCTGCTCCTCAGAAGTTCTATATAGGGTAGCTAGCTATAAGTAGGAATCAACTTGATGGCACTTAACAACAAAAATAATAGTAAGGATGTGAAAATTCTATCTCCAACTACCCATCTTGTACAACTATCCCTACTTACTAATAAACAGAAAATACTTAAAACAGTTTCACAGATGTCAACTGAGTACAAAAAACCCCAACTCTGTAAAGAACTAACTTTGTGCATTTGATAATGTGTCATATCCCATTTACAAATTTAGTGTATTCAGTTTACTGTTACCCATGTCAAACTGAATACTCGGCTGGCTCTACCTTCGTATCAAAGTCTCCAGAGTTCCCCTGCTGTTGAGCTGATTCCAACTCATAGCAACCCTATAAGACAGAGTAGAATTGTCCCACAGGGTTTCAAATCACCTGGACAGCCCCTAACAACAACAATCTTTACAGAAACAGATTACCACATTTTTCTTCTGCAGAGTGGCTGGTGGGTTTGAACAATCAATTTTTCGTTTAGGAGTCCAGCGGTTAACTACTGTCATCAGGGCTCCTTCAGAGAGTCCCGGGGTAGTGCAAACAAATAATGCATTGTTAACAAAAGTTTGGAAGTCTGTGCTCACCCAGAGACACTCGAAAGAAAGGCTTGAGCATTTTCTTGGAAATAATCAGCCATTGAAAACCCTGTGGAGCACAGTTCTATTGTGACACATATGTAATCATCATGAGTGAGACTCTACCTGATGGCACCTGTTTGCTTATTTGTGTGTTTTTTTCTATTATGCCTCTATTCCAATTGTAAAAACATAAAATCACTTGTGGTTGCTGTGGTTAATGATGTGGATGGCAGCCTTTGATGTATATGAGTGTTTTTTTATATTCTTTAAAGAGAGGACAGGGATTTATAAGATTCAGCATTTTATCCCTTCCTCCTCAAAGCTTTACCGGAGGCTTTTGAATGCACTTAGGCATATGAAAGTAACCAAATTAAATTTAAGGACAGATGCAGCAAAAGTGGCTAAAGTTTTCGTTACTTAAGGAGTATAGAAAGGATTAGCAAATCTGCTAGAAGCATGAGGCAGCATGTTTTCTAATTTTGTAGTAAATCGTTTAGAGACTTAGCAGATTTCTTATTCCATAACTTATTTTCACATATGTTGCTAGACTTTATCTTTCTGCTCTTCTGGAATACACTTTGAAATGAATATCACCCTTTACTCGAACGTAATTACCTGCTAAAAAAGAATAATTAGCTGTCACATATTCAAACACAATTTACTCTTGACTTAGTTTTGAGGTGAGGTGAAAAAAATTGGATCAATTCTTTTTAAATTCATTCATTGACAAAAAATTTAAATTAAATGATTACCCACTCTGGAGATTCTTGGAATATCATGCTCAAGAAAGATATTGATAAAGGTGAAAATCTTCCTTTAGTTTCTGTTCATCTCATTTCCAAAAATCATTATTTCCCCTAGCAACTTAGGGTTCTTGTCTCTGGGGTCCTGTTACCAGGGACTGACTTCATGAGAAGGAGTTCATCCTCTTAACTCTCTTCTCTGATTGTTTCTCTCCATCAGACCTCACTAGTTGGCCATTGAGTGGACTTCAATTCATGGAGACACAGGTGTGCCAGAATACAACTGTGCTCCATAGAAATTTTAACGGCCAATTTTTCAGTCTTTCTTCAAAGTCACCTCTGACGGAACTCAGTTTGGTTATTATATATATTTGAATATGGTGACCCACATAAATTCCTATTCAGACATCCTGTAGGCCAGAGATAGAATTGCTCCACAGGGTTTCCAGGGATGTGATTTTTATGAAAGCAGACTGCCACATCTTTCTCCTGTGGAGTAGCTAGTGGGTTTGAACTGCTGACCTTTCACTTAACACCCAAGCACTTAACCACTGCTCCACTAAACAACCCAAACCCAACCCACTGCCACTGAATTAACTGTGACTTTCCAAACTTATAGGACAGAGTGCACTGCTCCAATGGGTTTCAGAGGCTGTAGATCTTTACAGAAGCAGACTGCCTTACTCTTCTCCTTCAAAGCATGTGGTGGGTTTTTACCATTCACCTGTTAGCAGGCCAGAGCTTCAGCAACTATGCCGCAAGTGCTTTTTAAATATGGTGGCAGAAGAATATAACTTGCCCAAGTTTCTGTCACAAGATGGAAATGTTTAATGTCCCCCCACACACACACACACTCCAACAATTCTCCTTTCTCTGAAAGGCTACAAAAACCTAGATCCTAAAAGCAACAACAACAACAAAAACAAAGTTGGCGGAAGAATTCTACAAGGAAAAGCACTGCATTTTCTTGTCCAGAAAGATCTGGTATCTATTCTTTAGATTAGACCCTTAGGAGACAGAGATGAAGATAAGGTTCAGGTTCAACTTCTGTGTTTCAACAAAAATATACATATATATGGAGCCCCGGTAGCATAGGTGATTATGAACTGGGCTACTAACCACAAGGTTAGTAGTTCGAATCCACTAATCACTCCATAGGAGAAAGATTAGCTTTTCTGCTCCCTTAAAAATGTATAGCCCCAGAAACAATATGCAGGATCACTATGAATCAGAACCAACTTGATGGTATACCACTACCACAACATGGCCATTTCAAACAAAATGGCAGCCCTCGTGAGTGGATTGTTTTTTTCATTTTGAAACAAGAAGCATTTTAAAACTCTTGAAATCAGACTCAGGTGTCACTATCATATTCTATGTGAAAGAAGAAAAAAGTGAAGGATAACAGAAAGAAAAAGGAAAAGATGATCGAGATGAAATGATACAAGGAGTTTCCAAGATGTGGAAGAGATAGAAAGAAAAATTTAGGACATTATAAAGAGATTCCAATTTATTCTGAAGAAGTGAAATGAACTAAAGTCATCCAAACGAAAACCTGAAATCCTATCCTACCACACTCTACCACATGGAGCCCTGTTGATGCTGTAGGCTAAGTGTTGGGCTACTAACCACAAGGTTGGCAGTTAAAACCAACATCCACTCTGAGGAAGAAATATGAGGCTCTCTGCTCCGGTAAAGATTTACAGTCTTGGAGACCCTATATAGGGTCGCTAGGAGTCAGAATTGACTTGATGGCATAAAGTTTTGTGTTTTGTTTTGTTTTTCATTATACTTTACCACATTATACATCAAAAAATTTTAAGCTGCCTTCTTAACTAAAATTGCAATCAGAATTTAAATATTCACCCTCTTACCCAAACTAAAAAACAAGAGAATGAAAATTTAACTCCATAAAAAAAGAAATGATGCAAATTCATCTTGTTATTAGGACTGACATTCCAGAGAGAGAGAAGTAACTTATTTATAATTTCTAAAACCATAGCTTATGTAAATCTTTAAATAAAAGTAGAAAAGCTCTGAGAAGACAGATTTTAGAGAGTCATCAGAATCATCATATAATTGGGATGTTATCCTTTCAGTTGATAGTGTTGGTATCTCTTGATTAGATCATACCATTTTTGAAAAGAGAGAGCAAGACTAAGGATTTACCTTTGACTTTTAGCAAATTTTTCTCAAACACAAAGGTCTGACAAATTGAAAAGATTAAAAATTAGGTTTAAACTCAATGGCCTGAATAATCTTTCAGAACTAAGACAGTAACAAGTTATTCTTTTAATGAATTTCTCTAGAATACTTCAACTTGGTTAAACCATACATGGTATCCACATGTCCAAATTGGAAGTAGAATTCCAATACAATTATGAATCTACAATGAACACATGCTTGTAACCACTCTAGTGTTGCCAAAGTGTATAGACCAACCTGCTTCTCCATGTGTTCTACTTTTTGCCGTTATCCTTTATTTGTTAACATTAATAATCCGGGTCTCCCATAATTCATCTCTTTTTTTCTTGTTAATGAATTTGGTTAAGCTATTTTCCCTGACTTTCCCACTCCACCTAAATGCCAGAAACCCATGCTGCCTCTTCCCTGTGGCCCTGGACATTTGATCATAGTGTCAAATTATGTAACATTTGTTCTATTGATCAGATTTTATCAATAGAACAAATTTTATATAATAATAATCAGGTACTTCACAAATTTTACATGCAAAAAATATAAATTAACAGTGTTAACTTAAATAATAATTATTTAAAAAATTTTTTTATTCTGAATTGAGTGAAAGTTTACAGGGCAGAGCATCAGTTTTACATTCAACAAATTATACACCTTGTTTCATTACAATGATTATAATCCCCACCATGTACCGTCAGATAACAGTATTTCTCTTATTCACTTTAGCGCTTTTTTTTAAACACTCAAGTATATATAATAATTTACACCACCAAAGAGCACCTTCTGCAAGTCTGCCTCATGGTTGCCAGCTCTTAGTCCCTCTCTTCCCATGAATCTAGAGTCCTCAGCTGCTCCTTCTCTCCATGTCCTCATCTCTGCCTCCATGTCTGGTATTGCTTCTTCTCTGGATAAGGTCTTGAATTCCGCTTGTGCTCTTCTCCCTTGATGGTCCTAGGTTCCTTTGTTTCTGGACTGTAAGATTAACTGCTCCCCTGTTTGTATTACAAAACTTCAACCTTTACAATTGTGACAGTCGCAATTAATCATGATAACTATTACTCACTAGTGAATCGTAAGAGTCTTATCCCCATCTGTTTTCACCAGACACATCTAGACAAGATGAAAACTATTCAGTGGGGACTCTTTCTCCCCCCCCCCCTTTTTTTTTCACTTTAATTGTGAATTATGTGATAGTTTACATGGGAGAACATTAGCTTTACATTCATCCTATCATATATCATTTCATTGCAATGATTACAATGCCCTGCATGCATCATCAAACAACCAAAGGGTACACCTTGCAAGCTTGCCCCCTGGCCGTCACCA